GTCAACACAGCCCGGTACCCCTGCGCACCACGCAACCACATCCTCGCCTCCGACACCCGCGAGCGCGAGGTGCTCCCAAAAGACACCTTTGATACCATCCGAGAGCTAGAGACGCGGCACCGGCACATTGAGGATATTGTCCACGGCTCATACCTCGCCTTCTGGGAGGAGTACGGGCTCCAGGACGCGAACAAGGCGGACACCATCCGCTCGAACCTCAAGAGAGCGCTCTGGCAGTGCTCGGCGGTCGCCGACTTGGAGACGCACTCGATACGGTACAGGGACGACGTCGTCCCCCGCCGGGACCCTTGTGTGAAGTCGCTGATCCACCAGGAGATTATACTGCACGACGCGCCGCCACCCGATGGCTGGCACCTGGCTTTGAGGGAGGTCCACGAGTCTAACCGTCAGGATGTGCGGTTCCGTCAAATCGCCCACGTCCGCAACGACCTCTCTACACAAGACCTCGCGGGCATAGTAGTCCTCGCGCACCTCGCTAGTCAAGGGTATCGGAGGTACAGGGCTCCCACGACGAACGGGCTGAGCCGGCCTGAGGTTATCGAGATGGGCGTGTGTATGGCGGAGAACACCATCCGCCACGGCGTCTTTTTCTTGTATAGCAAGGTGGTAGCGGGCGAGGACGACGAGGACGGGCGGCACCACGCGAGGCTGCTTCTGGATGATACCTTTGATGAGATGCGGCGGTGGGAGGCGGGAGATCCTAGTGTGCTTCCCGGTCTGACGATGAGCGTCGCGTCTACGTTTTGCGAGAAGATTGGGTGCGAGCACCGGGATATGCTGGATGCTGCGTGTACGTTGTTGAGGGGGGATGTGTGGCGTCCTGCGGCGGAGGAGGTCGAGGGGGAGGAGGTCGAGCCTGAGGCTGGGAGGGAGAAGCCTACTGGGGAAGAGGTTGAGCAGGAGCTTGATGTGGCGGAGGGAGAGGGTGGGGAGCAGGTCTCGTGAGGGTTAACCTGGGATAGGATACATTGGATACTTATGAATGCATGATGACCCTATAAAAGTTTGCTCCGAAGATTCCCGAACCAGATTCATTTATCACCATGCCCCCTTCTTCTCGTTATTTGTAAAACATATTGCAGGACAGAGGCTTATAGAAAGAAGAGTGAGACGAAGGCGTGAAGTTCTATAGTACAGCTCTCTCTCGGACGACAGTGAATCACGAAAAGAGACAGTGAACCTCACGGTCACGGCCCATATTGGTCGAGTATTCTACTTAATCCCTCTGCCGGCGCCCTTGTTCTTCATCTTTCTCATTGTGTTTCATTGAGATTTTCGAAGTTGCGTGATGTTTGGGTGTTGCGTCCAGTGATTGACAATTTACCTACCGCCCTCAGATAGCTCGAGGGAACGACCAGGACGTTTTGACCTGTACTACGACCTGGTGTACCTTCGTCTTTTTACTCTGGGTAATCATCTTTTAACGGCATGGGTGTATACTAAGGTAGATATGTAGACACGAAAGATGAGGGGTGGTTCAGGACTTGATAACCGCTCAAATCCAAGCTTTGAGAGCTCTTGCTAGTATAAAGTCACATAGAGTCAACCAGAGAGATGTCTGGCTTTATCACGGGGCTCGAGAGGCGAAGAATTTCTGGAAGAAGGCGCGTGTCCTGGTGATACTTTCCAGGGTACAAGAAAGTCTGTGAAAGCTCGAACGCTCCTCTAGTCGATTTCCGTAGGCTGCGGGCGAGGTAGCCTACCTAGATTGCAGAATCCTTGACATGCACACACACGCTCTTCACGAGGTTTGAACGTTTCGTTCTTTGAACCCCTTCGTGTTATGAATCTCGTTGGGCCCCGCCGCTTGGAAACCTGCCAACTTTAGCAAAGTCAGGGAAGAGATCTAGAACATAGGCGCCACCTAGGTAACTCGGGCAGAAGCCATGGAAGCCTGAGGACGGCCTGCCCCAGCCGCCTATAGCCCGACGTCGAAGCGTAATGGCAGCCTAACTCGATGGTGCCTTACGGTGTGATACGTCGTTACGGAGGCAGGCTACGGGGTTTCCATTCTCATAGGCAGATCCCAATGGAAGGGTCAGGACGGCTCTCGTTCGGGAAAGCCGAGCCGGTAGGAGGGAGCCTTGGCCTGCCGAGGGACTCGGAGAGATCGTGTGGGGAGACAAGCTTTTTTTTCTCAGGGCGTGTTAGATGAGGATTCTTTGACAGAGCCGCGTTTGTGACGACGATTGCTTCAAGTGGATGACTGCCGACATGGGTGGGCATCTTGGGAGTGAGTTCGGAGGGGCTCACCCGGCGTGGGAGGTTCACATCGGGGGCGAGGGACACGTTTGTTCATTCGTCTCTAGCGAGATGTTTTCTTCGTTGGAGGGTTTTTTTTTTCTTTTTTTTAAAATTTTTTTTTTCTTGCTGGGTTTACGAGGATGGAGGGTGCACGATTACTATGGATTCCGCGTGTAATGCAGCACTTTTTTCTCACGATCTAACTTTGGTGGAGTATCTGCCTGTATACGTACCGCTAGGTAGGCTGTGACATGAAGCGAGAACCGGCGAACTCGTTCGGGTTGTGGTGACTGGTGAGCCTGTCAGGCGAGGAGTCACCGGAGCCCCAAAGTCCCTTTCGCAGTAATGCGGTGCTTCGCATTAGGGCTGATCTGGCCCCTCGGGGGGGGGTAATCAGTCCGGCGTGTACCGGCCGGCAGTGGAAGTGTTCGTACAGGTAAACGTCACGGCGTTCCCCCGTAGTACTGCTGATCCAATCAATTATTCGTTCAGGCGTTTCTGGCTCGCCGAGAAAAAGTCGAGATAACTATCGCGGGTATCCATCGCCAAGGTAGAAACGGGGTCTTACAATTGGTACCGCGCAGTGGAGAAATCATTCCCAGGCAGGGCAGATTAAACGCCAGATGTTGATGTTTTGTGTGTGTTTTTTTTGTAACAATGGCGGGCGCGTTGGGGGAGTGACTCACGACGCAGGAAAGAATCTCACCGGCGGCGAGATCTCAGGTTTCTCACTGCGATGAGAGAGAGGTCTGAGACTGTCTACCACGTATACTGTGAGGTATTCGACGAGGTAGGTATGCACAGCCGACCGGTGGTCTATCTTGCCGTCTTACAATGTTACGAGTCCTATTCGTCCTATGGCGGATCAATTCCTACGCTAGAGTTGCTGTGGTGTTGTTGGTGCCTGTTGGTTTGCGTAGCCCTGGAGGCAGGGGAGCGGGGGTAAGTAAATCTGACGCTTATTTTTTGGTTGGTAGCGGTGCCGGGAACCGAACGGCCGCGTTGGCCGTTGATCTGCTGTATCCGCCCCCAATACCTTGCCTTATTACGTGGTCCGTGGAACCCACTACCACGGGACCGGGGGAGAAGATCTCAATGTCTGAATGTATGCGTATTTCCAAGTTGATTAGGTATGACATTGACGTCGTAAGGTGATTGCGTTGCGTAGTCACTGTGAGTCTAAACGTGGTATGAGTTGATGAGTCTATTCGGTATGGTATCCACAGCAACTGCAGTGTAAAGCCTAGCACGAAAGCGAATTGTCGTGCACTGGTGGATTTCCACGACAAAATGCGCGCGGGAAAGCCTCAATCAATTGGGTCAAGATAGTGCGTCGGCGATGGCTTGGGGCTGAGTTGAACGGAGGGTTCGCCAAGATGCCAAAGTGGCATTGGTTTCGCAATAATTAGAAAAAAAAAGAAAGAAACTTTTCTATCGCAGCTTGTCAGTTTTGGCGATGATGGGATGAATTGAGATTTTCTCCTTTGCTCTTTGCTCGCATTGGATTGGATTTTCGATTGCCGCCTTGCTGCCCTGCCGTCCGTACGGGACTTTGCCAGGCACGCCGTGATGCTCTTGTGATCCATGCGAGAGTGAATGCAGGATGGCGAAGCAGCAAGATTCGGATGTAGGCGGACGCATCGTCAGGGTTGAGCCTTGCGCCAAGTGACTCATGGCCGAAGTTTATCGGACCAAGGAGGATTAGAGCGACACTGCCAAACTGCTCAGTGCCAGGCTTGCTAGGCAACTGGCAAGCTATTACTTACAGCGTCGTGCTCACGCAGGGAGAGAGTAAGTTTCGAGGCTACCACTAGAGGATTCATGATAGAGGGGGGCAGTTTGACGCACTGACAAACTGACGCGAACCGGCGTAATGTCTTGCCTGTACAGGAATCCCTTTGGGTGGTCTTACTTACCTGTTGTGGTTTAGTCCTGCTAAGAGCTCCTAGTGAATACTGCGGTATGATATTGTGAATATGACGGCGTGAGGGAGGGGGCGAAAGAGGTTAAGCTCAATAAGCTTCCCGTCACACGCCCACGCAAGCCCAATTGTTGGTTTTGGGCGACGCAATGGTGTGGATACACGACCTTGATCTGTTCCGGGGGCCTGGTTGGATGCCTTGGGATAGGACCAGGGGAGGGGGGTAATTCTCCCAGTGACGGAATCTTTGGAGGATGCGTGTGCAAGTTGCGTCTGTCCGAGTGCGTGTGTGTGTGTGTGTGTGTGTGTGTGTGTGCGATGGGATGGGATGGCTTGGGTTGGGACGAGGAAAGGGGGGAAGATGCTTGTTCAGGTTTCTGCGCCCGTTTTTGGGGGCCCCGAACCACGCCGCCGGCTTTTGCTTGGAATAGATGAGTCCTACGAAAGGATACTTTGATACTTTGATACCTTCCTTAGGTTCCAAGGTAGTGTACACTACTGCGTAGGTACAGGATGGATGCAGGATACAGTGACATTGCGTTCCATGGCATTTGAGGCGGTGCAACGCTTCGTTTTGGAAAACATAGTTATAAAGAGCATGCCACGCCCAGCCTCTACCAATACTCCATCTTGGCCTGCGTCAGCAATCAATCAGCCTTTTCTACCAATCGTCCATCAATCAGACGCTATCACCACCAGCAATACTACAAGAAGCTACCCGTCACCACATTCACCACCCTCACCACATCTCCTACCTACGATCATCACCATTAACCACACATCCACCATCATCCAAACCCCTCAAACCGCAACAATGGCCAAAGCAACATACGCACCCTCCACCTTCTCCGAGACCTCGACCATCTGCTCCTTTGAAAAGGAATCCTTCGAAAAGGACCCCGCTGTGACAGTAGCAGCAGCAGCACCCGCCGTCAAGGAACGCCGCTCCCTCCGATCAAGAGTCAAGAAGGCCCTCCGCGAGGTCGGAAACCCGCCCACCTACCGCTACGACCTCGAGCACGGCATCGAGACCAAGAGAACGGTGCCCGTCGGCCCCATGGGCTACAACGTTCTCAACCAGCCCTCGCGCATGTAAAACACACTTGCTGCTACCTATCAGTGGACTCTTGTGTGCTTGCGATCAGCGATAAGCGAACGTGCGGTTTGATCTTGACGAAGAACAGACGAATTTGACTGTTACGGATGAAGCGATTTCTTCATTATGGATGCCATGAACGGATATACCAAATGGCGCAACGGAGTTTGGATGGAATCTTCATGGGGTTCCCCTCGTGTGGGGGGACCCTGATGGACTTTTTCCTTGGGTTCTGAACGATTTTATCAACATTTTCTTTACAATTTTCATAACGGCACGCAATAAGGGCAAGAAACACAAACAAAGGTCTCGTCTCCTATGTGTTTTCCGCTCCCTTTTTGCAAGCTGTCGCTAGGCGATAGGTGTCGGCAGAGACGGACCTTGGGTGAGATGGGAGGTGCCGCGAGGAGAGATGGCTTTTGCGAACCCAGCTGAGAGGAGAGAGGGGGAGCTTGAGGAGGTTGCCTTTGTTCCCGCTCAAGAGGGGGAGGAAGGGGGCGCCAACGGCTCTCGCGCCTGGCTGGGGTTAGGATAACGATGGTGGGTTGGCGGGAATATGGGGAGCAAGCCATCGTCTTACGGGCTGCCACACTCCAAGGATTGGGTCGACACCTACGCTCAGCCTTTTTCCTTTTTTCACATTGGAAAATTCGGGGGAATTGGAGGGATATGAAGAGGTGTTACCGGTTCCCCAGATGGGACATGGACCTTGATAGAACAACACCACGAATTCCCTCTATTTCCAGTTTGCTATCCTTTCACGTGAAAAAATGAACAATTTTCGCAGTGACCATCCTCATTGACCGCCAAGGTATCTAGACCAAGTCCGGATATCCTAGTACCTAAGTCAGAGGCGCGACTCGACTCGGCGTCTCAACATCAGACTGACTAGACGCGCGAGCGCGCGCTCAACGTATCAGCTGCCCAGTCGGGCGATTCGACACGATATGAATGGAAGAGTAGGCCGTTCCCCATTTTTGCCGACCGGCAGACTGAGCGAGTACCGGGTTAAGTGGGACTGGTCGGGGGGCAAAGACCGGGTTTCGGACCCGTTTGGCGGCAGTTCCGTTGCCCCAAGTCAAGGATTTAGGCCGGTTTTGTCCCTACACGGCTCAGTATGATCATTCAAGCATCCCTCTGGCTAATTCCAGAGAATCAATTGACATTTTGTCTCAATGCATACCCAGTACCCAACATCTAAGGATTCATAGCAAAACGCATTTGGGTACGACGGAATACTTTTACTTGCTCCAAATCGAACATCGCAATCAAGAATTGCCATCATGACGTAACATACCCTCGTTAAGTAACTGCCAAGTTACACAGCACCAGCAAAAACCAAGTTTCTGAAATAGTCCTCTTTCCCTTCCAGAAGCACTCATTTAGGGCAGACAATAGGGACTAGATCGGACGAAGAGGACAAGAGGGGAATGCTAATAGATTGGATGGAAGCGGGGAGCCACGGCTCATCCCTTCTCCAGTCATCTAGCTTAGAAATCACGACATCAACCACAAACCGGGGCCGAAACTCCCTTGCGCCAAGCTTATTCAGCATCCCGTGTCCGTGGTGATTTGGGATCCAAATGCAATGCTGAGCTTCTGTTGGTTTGACATTTCAAATTTCGTTGGGAGTTGTTAGTGGGGATAAGTAAGGACTGAGTACAAAATGGGCACGAGAATCTCTCAACTTCAAGTGTGTCGGTGTCGTCTGTAGTGAAGACAATCTTCTTACGCCATCATCAGACTCGTTTGTACGCGAAGCAGGTTGAATCTTCCCTACTATACACACAACCATCTCGTAATCCCAACGTCAGAGAGAAAGAATCGCACAAAATGGTGACCATCCCCAAAACCCACAAGGCCGTCGCCACACCCGCCAAACGCGCACCCCTCATCCTCCTCGACCGCGAGACGACTCCCCCGGGACCAGGCGAAATCCTCATCCTCAACGAATGGACCGCCTCCAGCCCCCTCGACCTCCACCGCGCCGACGGCGGCCTCCTCTGCAACCACCCGGAAGTCATGGGCGGCGGCGCAGCGGGCACCGTGGTCGCCGTAGGCCCCGACCAGGACCCAGCGGACGCCGACAGACTGAACCCGGGGGACAAGATCTTCACGTTTGCGTTCCACCGCTTCAGCGAGCGCGCGCACCAGGACCTCGCGACGGTGCCGGCGTACCTGGTCTCCAGGCTGCCCGCGAACGTCACCCCGCAGGAGGCGGCGACGGTGCCGACGAACCTGATCACCGTGTTCCATGCCGTGACGGCGGATCTGGGGTTAGAGCTGCCGTGGCCTCGACCCGCCGGGGGAGAATGGGTCCCGCGCGCGAGGGACGACGCCGTGCTCGTCTGGGGCGCGGCGAGCAGCGTCGGCGTGTACGCGGTGCAGGTGCTGCGGCGCTGGGGATATCGGAACGTCCTGGCCGTGGCGAGCGAGAAGCACCACGCGCGGCTGAGGGCGATGGGCGCGCGGGAGACGTTTAGTTACCGGGACGCCGACGTCGTGGAGAAGATCCTGGGGGCCGTCGGTGAGCGGGGCGTGCCGTTCGTGCTGGATTGTATCGGGTCCGTCGAGGGCACGCTGAGACCGTTGACGAAGATTGCGGGCCGGGGGACAAAGGTTGCGGTCATGTTGCCTGTCATTGTGAGGGACGCGACGGAGGAGGTTGAGCCGGAGTATGAGATGGAGGTGGGGACCGTGTTGGTTGGGGAGTGGGCTGATGGTGTCGAGCTCCGGGGGGTGAGGACGCATTTCTACCTTGCGGTGAGTTTTTTTTGGATTTCCATTCGTTTCTTCGTCGAGTGAGTGTGTTGCCATGAGATGGGCAAGGCTGATATTTCGGTAACACAGAATGAGTTCTTCAAGGAGAAGATGCAGAGAGAGATTGTGCCGACGCTCTTGGAGCAGGGCATCATCAAGCCCAACAAGCAGAAGATTGTCGAGGGCGCCACCATGCTGGAGAGAGCGCAAAAGGCGATTGAGCTGCTGAGAAAGAGGGATCCTAGCGGTGAGCGTCTGGTCTGGAGGGTTTCGGATCTCGAACTGAAGCTGTGAGTGAGGTGGTCGTGTCAGTTGATGTCCCATAAGCGCGAACATCACCTAGTTGGCCTACATTAGCGAAAGAAGCATGGCTGTAGTGGAATGAATAGAGGTCTTCAAATGCTTTTTGCGACTTTGTTCCTGCTTTTGTAATCTGCCGACCATCTGCTGAAAGAAGCTCAAAACTCCAACCGTGGGATGCCTCCTGACCAAAAACAAAACGCCAATGAGTGGTCGATCCTCCGCTGCGTCGTCTCTTTTCCCACTCGGATATGTATATCAAGTTTCCTCCGCAATACACACATACACACACACACACTCTCTCTCTCTCTCTTTCTCATAACCGTCGCCGTATTCTTTTGTCACTCCAAGCACTTTACTCCTTGCGACCCTTCTTGGGCTTCTCCTCCGCGTCACCCTTCTCCCCCTCGTCCTCGCTCGCCACGTCCCTGCTGCGCTTCAGACCCTTCATCTTGCGCGTCTGCAGCTCGCCCAAGTCCTGGCGGCCGACGTGCACGCGACCCATCTTGTCACCCATGGCGTCCGTGGTGATGTTCTTCTTGGTGCGCTCCTCGGTGCCGCGGGGCTTCTTCATGGCCTCCTTGAGCATGCCCTCCTCGGGCTCACGCACGCGGCCGACGCGGAAGTCCATCCGGGGCCCAATCTCGCTGACCTCGACGCGGGGCACCTTGGAGCCGCTGCGCTTGGTGGCGATGGTGTAGGCGCGAAGGCGGATGGCGGGCTTGGCGGCGTCGTCGGTGGGCTCGTCGGCCGTGATGGAGACGATCCACTGCAGGCCCTCGACGTCGATCTTGTCCGTGGGCTCGCCGCGGAAGAAGTCGGCGAAGAAGGATTTGGCGTGGGTGTACTCGTTGGCGATGGGGCTGTCCCAGGCGGTGCCGGCGAAGTTGAGCATGGGCTTGAGGCCGATGGGGACCTTTTTGCCCTTGAACTGGGCGAGGGTGCGGAAGGTGTCCGGGTCGAGGTAGAGCTCGAGCATGTCAAAGACCTTGTAGCTGAAGGTGCGGACGAGGGTGAGGGCGTGGGGCCGCTTCTTGGAGGTGTGGCCAAAGACGAGGATGGAGGCGTCGTTCTTTTCCGAGAAGAACTCGAGCGAGTCGGCGTTGTCAAAGGGGTGGATGTCGTTCTTCTTTACGAAGCGCTTGGCGAGCGGCTGGCGCATCTGGTAGAGCTCGTTGATGGCATCTTGTGTCACTTGCGAGCATGAGCTTCCGCGGAGGAACAATGCCGTCTTGGGGTTTTCTCTGTTTGAGAGAAAGATGGCTGAATTAGCTTGCGATCATGGTCAAACTTGTTCGTCCAGATCGGGGGAACGTACTGGGCCTTGGGCTCGCGCTTCTCGAGCGCACGCTTGGAGCGAGCATTACGGGGTTTTCTGTTGAGCAATTATTAGCTACTTGTCTGCATGGCTACGTTGTGCGGTTGCCGCGACTCACATTTGACGAAGCATTGTGCCGGTGGTCGAATTTGTCGTCCGTCGGGTCTTTGATGCAAGTGGCTGGGATGCGAACTGATCTCAATTCTGCGGTAAAGTTGAAGCCGCCGTCAAAAAAATTGCTTATCGTTATCGTCAGGATGTAAATTCTTATCTTATCACCCCGCAGCATCAAAGGTGCCTGTATCTAAGAATGCCAGCTGGTCCCACCTGCAGGGCTTCAGCTATCGCAACGTCATCAAAATACACTGCCGGTTTATATGGTAATATCTAACACGCGCTTACACCCATTTTTGTCGAACAGCCCTTGAAGAAGAGGAAGAGGAAACCCGTCAAGTAGAAGAAGAATCCACAAAAGAAAACAGGGGCAGTGAAGGCTCCTGATTCAACGCAAGCCTCGGAGAAACAGACGAGCTCCATTCTGCCAGCAAACGAATTATCGCAGGCAGCGCCAAATGCAGTTGACCAAATGCCTGGCCCATCTCAAGCTCAGTCCGTTCCCTCTGGCAGCTATGTCAACTATTTTACGTCCAGCGTATTTTCCACAGTGGATGGAGGACATCCGTATCCTTTCTATGGAGAACAATCTGGCCAAGGTCGTTATTGAACTTCAGCTACATCTTCTGAAAATGATTTGACACCATGCACAGAGCGTGCTCGACGACACGAGCAACAGTCAAACAATTTCATCCAAGTCATTATCATATTACTCCAACGGTGAACCATTCATACACAGCCCCAAACAACAATACGCGACAGTTTGGCCGATTCTTAAACGACCCCTATGCCTAGTTCACCAACTCATACAACTGACTAACAGCGCCGACACCCTCTCTTGAGTACAGCGCCAGGAAATGCGTCGGGTCCCTGTTGAAAAGTCCAGGCCAATGGGCCTGCGCGGGTCCCGTCACGACACTGCCGCTCCATGTCTTACCGTGGTCGACACTGGTGATGACCTTCATCTCACCAAAGTTGTAGCCGTCGGCACCCTCAACGTCCTCGTTGGTCATGAAGCTGGCGACGAGCGTGCCCCATACGTTGTACACCTGCGGCGCGCCCGACATGCGGCCGTTGCGCGCCGTGTAGAGGCTGCCACGCTCGCCCCAGGTGTAGCCGTCGTCGTGGGAGAGGACGTAATCGACGTTGAACCTGCCTTCTCTGGTGTGTTCGAACACGGCACTGTGAAGGGCTCGCTGTTAGTTTCTCTTTCCGGATGGGTAGGGAAGCTTAATTGCAATTCAACTTACATTAAGTCTCCTTCGTTGCCAATAGGCGCAACACCGACCATACCGTCACGGGACAAACGATCGCCGCCCGAGACAGGAATCCAGGCCGACCAAGTCTGACCGCCGTCCTTGGAGTATTTCATAAAGTTGTCCTGGTCATCAGCCGAGTTCTCGGCCGAATAGTAACACTGCAGCGTGCCATCCCTCGCCAGACGCAGGTACGGCTCCCACAGCCCGTTGACGCCGTTGGGCACGTGCTCCTCGACGGTAGACAGATACTTAAACGTCGCGCCGCCGTCGTCCGAGTACGACACGGAGATGCGGAAGTAGGTGTAGTGCCCTTCGGCGCCCGTGCGGTCGTGGTTCCGGTAGGCGTACAGGATGCGGCCGCCCGGCAGCTGGATCGGCATGGCGTTGTCAATGTCGTGCGTCGCCCTCTCGCCGCGGAAGACCTCGCCGATGCGCTGCCAGGACTGCGCGCCGTCGGTGGAGCGGACGACGCGGAGGATGCTGGTCGAGCCTTCTTTCGCCGCGTAGCCGCCGATGAGCGTGCCGTCGTTCATGAAGCTTACACGGATGTAGTTGCCGGTCGGGTCGATGACGACGGGGTCGCCGGCGCGGACGACGCGGCCTGGCAGGCGTTTGTCGAGAGATACCGGCGTGCTGGCGGCTAGGCCTACGAGGGCCAGGCCTGCGGTGAGGGTCTTCGCGAGGTTGAACATTATGATTCTAATCTTGGGGGGTTTTCTTGTCGACCTATGGGTGGCGATACATCAAAACTAGTTGAGGCGTCTCATGATGGACTCTTTATGTGTTTCCATTTCCATCGCGTCTTGTAAGCGCGGCATGTCGGAGCCAGTACCAAGAGTTTTGTGGCATCATGTCAACTCCACGAGCTGACTTGACCAAGGATGGCTTTTTCCCTCTGTCCCTGGTCATCTCAATTTGGCTGCCTACTAAGGAAGCAGAAGCTTGCTGAATGCCTCTACGGATGCCATTGAAGGATCAATTGCATCTACGCTGTGGAGAACGCTCCGCGGGCTGAGTTCCTGTTCTTGAATCCTTCCCGCTTTGCCCACGCAAAATCCCGGCTTCCCCTGCAGGAAGCGGTGTATTCGTAGAGCTCCTCCAATAAACTATGCTGTTCATCCTGTCAGAAATATTGATTACCTCTTGCGGCTCTCAAGACTCCACAGCACAGGTGAGAGGCCAGGGGCCCCAGAAGCTGCGAGCTGACATTGGATATGCTGGTTGGTTGCGCTCGAATCCTGGTCCGGGTACCACAATTCAATTGCTGGTGCCTAACGTTCACCACTTCGAGTTTCTCACCTTTGCTATGGCTTCTAGTCACCTAGGGGCGGTTGCTCCCGCGCTCGTCTTATGATTGCATCTATATTGGACGAAGCACAGAAAACGACAGCCGTGTTTTCGGTGTGTGGCATACCAACTGCTTTCTAAGGCATCATAAGCCGCTGTTGCATAAGTATCAATATTCAAGAAACGGTTACTTCCTGTGGCTGCTACCTGTCCAAGCAACGCGACACCTCTACGCCGCCAATCAAGGCAAGGTAAATTATTGAACTTTGGTCACATTTCAAGGTGAAGTATGCCTTGTCGTCATGTCAGTGAAAGCAACATTCATAGCAATCAGCGCTTGGATGTTGGTGACGCCACGTTAGTTTGTGAGTAAAAGACTGGCAACGAGCTCTGAATGTAGCTTGTAATGAATGAAGGACTTGCACTCCGTGTCGAAATTCACTTCGGCAGGAAGCCCGGTCGAGCCAGGACACTGTATCGACAACCAGCACCGCACTCCTGCCAAGTTGTGGTCTCAGTGTTCCCGTGCGACAGTCAATCGTACAGGGAATCTCGCGGAAGCCTTGGAGAACAACAACGATTCACAATACTGGTCGGAAGGAACAAGAGATCTCGAGACAGCGTCAATTCTGCCGTTTCCTGGCCGAGGAAGTCTAGAGCAAATACCGACACTAGCTACTGGCCTCCCAATACCAACTAGTTTTGCTGTCCGTCGATGGCACCGTTCGTCATGGTTCCCAGAGCTGGTCGGGGGCGGAATGGCCACTCACGTTCGAACTCAACCTTGTCAATCTTCTTCACCACTAAATGATCATCAGTAAACGCCCACATCCAAAGAGACTGTCGTATCTCGATACACTCACATTGCCCAAACACGTCGCGCATACGTCGCTGGTACCACCAGCCTACGAAGCTCACAACCGCCATGAACGCTATCGCGGCAATGGCGACTGGCTTCCAGTATTCTGCTGCTTGTCAGACCCATGGTCTCCCCCTCCCCCCAAAAAGGACAGAAAGTCCGTTTGATATTGAAACTGCGTATGTGACTTACTTGTGGCGGAATTAATCATTTCCCGGCTGTTCACCGATAACACAACTGGGGGACGTCTCTCCTTCGGCTCCAACCAGTAATGCACGTTGACGAAGCACATGTTGGTGCGGTACACGCCCATGATTTGCATCAAAGTACCGCCGAGACTGACAAAAACGGCGCTCAGCCCAAAGATGATTTGCAACGAGTAGTACAGCGAGGACCAAAAAGTGTGCAAGGTCCAGGATCCCGGTTTGCTGGCGTGGGCTAGGAAGTCCGCCAGCTTGGAGCTGGGCGAGTGCGTGTCTTCGTGCCACGGAGCCGTTGAGGGATCGTAGAATTTTCGATGATCGAGCCAGCCTCCCTTTCTAAACATGTCCAATGCTCTGATGCGGCGTTTGGGGTTGGTGACGTCGCCCGGGGCGCCGATGTAAGCCCATAGCCATAGACCAATCTGCGCGAGCTGGAGACCAAAGTAGACCAAGAACGTCAGGGAGCGGCAGGACAGCCCGATCTGGGGCGTGAAGAAGGCCAGCATGAATGCGAACAGGTAGGGGATACCGACGAGGAGCAGAGTGAGGAAGAGCAAGACGAACCAGTCGAGGAGCGACAAGGTAGTTCTGAAGCGTAGATCCTTCATATCGCCATCGATATCCTCGTGGCCTCGATACTCGACATCAGTTCTTCTGCTATAGACTGTCAGAAGCTGCTCGATCCATTGCTTCTTGGTGTGGCCGCGAAGCCATTGCCAGGCCACCTTGTAGCAACTGGGATAGACCAGATCGAAGCGTAAGAAACCAAAGACGTAGGTTGGATCTTCGGGATCTTCCGGATCGCGCTCTGTTGCCAGAACCCCCTCCAGGATGTTGGGATTGTTTCCAGCAAGTAGTAACCCGGAAATGATGGCGATATGAGGAATAATCTAGCTTGAGTTAATCGAGGAATAGTAGCCAGGAAGTGAGGACTCACCATGTACCATGATCCAAAAGCGATGGATTCCCTACAGAATTTTCTTAGTAAGTTTGCGGCTTTGGATGATATGGAAACTAGACCTACGCGATGTTTTCATCTCCCAACTCGTCAAGGCTAGTTAGGAACGAAAAGATAAATCCTCCGAGGAAGAAGCTGGAATAGTCAGCAACCCGCAGACTGCCTCGCTTTTTCTTAAGGACGGTACTTACATTACTGGTGCACCAACAATCGACCCGAACGAATACTGGCAGTGCAACATCGTTCGGAGTCGGGTTTTGGTTCTAACTATGCAACGCTCAGTCTCCCGGGATCGGGGCCATGGCTCTTGGATGTGTTCACGCCGGTCGCACGGGCGATCTGGACAATTGTGCCTGGCCCACTGACGCGGAGACTGGCCCCTAGAGACATTGTCATCATCGTAAAGCCGTAGATCATAGAGTAAAGTCTCCATGTGACGCCAAGGAGATGCCGTTAGGTGACCAGTGGAATGACGTGGAAATGCCTGCGTTGAGGCGGCGTTGTTCGCATTTGGCTGCGGAGCGGATGAACGCCGTCTGATGCTCTGATTCGGCGGTTCTGTATCCATTGATGTTGAGTTTGCGACAGTTTGGGGCGAGGTTCTACCGTGGGAATCCTGGTTGGCATCATTGACAGTTGCTTGTTCTCGATGGGCTAAGGATCCAAGTTGTATATCTCTGTTCTCGACAGTACGAGCTTCCTGAGGCGTTGATCCTGTCATAAATTCCCCTTGTGCAGTGTGATCCTGGTGTGATATGTGCCCATTTTCCGGAGGTATTGCTGATACGGCGGGAATATATGCTTGTCTCCCCCATTTCAGGGTCTCGCGGTCTAGAGCGAGATCAAGGTTCCCAATCAATACCAGCATGAGGCAACGGCACCGCATGTCGAGCGTCAGTCGCTTATTTTGGATTTTGTCTCTGAGAAACTCCAGAACCCGGTTATCTAGCAACGCTTCATAGAGGCCGCTCAGAATCATGGGGCCGGCGAAGGCGAAGCAGATGGAGAGCCATATGATCGTATCGACTGTGACAATTATGCCTGCCAAAATGGCACCGATAATTGCTGGAATGATACTTTTGATGCCGGCGATATCTGCTACAAACAAGGCGCTACAGCGATGTCAGAGCAAGTCACGAATCCTGGCATGTTATCGCTGGGTTGTCGTACCGATAAACATGAAGTTTCCTTCGTCTGGGCACCGACAGACAGAATACCACGGCTGGTAGCAAGAAACCCGACAGAGAGTGAAGCCAAGCATTCAGGTTAGACTTGTCACTGAGAGACCAGCCTGGGCAGTTGTCGATGAACCATGCATATTGGACTTGCACCTCAGGGGCGCCCCCAAGATGTGCCTGTGCTTCTGGTGAGCCCTCATTCTCTTGCGGCGAAGAAAGGGGGTTTCAGAACCTACATCGTTGTACTTGGCGTCGCAGGGAAACTGACTTCGGAGAGCGGCGTCTCGAAGGTCACCTGTTGTAGATGTTCCTATTTTAGTAATAGAGTTATTGGCGATGACCAACGTTCCGTTCAAAATGTCTAGACCGACGTAGACGGCTTTGAGGCAGCACCATGTGTAGTTTTGACTCCCAAAATAGACACTGCCTGATTTGTTGGGGAATTGCGCATCTAAGTCGGCGAGCTGCCAGAAGACGTCCCACCTATTCGTCACATTGTGGATGTTATCTGCTGATCGAGCTACTGTCGCAAGAAGTAGCAGAGACCCGAGAACTCGGTTCATCGCTCAGACCGGGTGGTATCGGTCCACGGACTATTGCAGTGGAACTAAAGAACGGCCGACATCGAGACCAGGAAGAAGGTGGGTTAAGCATGATAATAAGCATGACTTGCGAGCCTACACAGGGGTGCAAATGCAACCATCAGCAACTGGGTCAGGCTGGGCGCGAAGAGTCAATATTTCAGCCTCACTTGAGCTATTCGATCAATAAAGATGGTGTCGTGTGACGCGGTGCTGACCACCCTATTGGGTGTTCAGCCTGGCATTAGGCAGGCTGCGTGCGACGCAGCTCGATCGGAGACTGCAGATAGAACGGAACGAACACCCAATGGCGGAAAATGGATTGACAAGAGAGGAAGGAGATCCGATATCGAGACAGACCAAGTTCAAAAAGGAGAAGATTGCGGGCAAGAAAGAAGAGCTGCTATTTCTGCTACTTTGGCAAAGGAGGCAACAAGTAAAGTAGGCACCAACAGCTGCCTCAGATGAGGAGCAGGGCGGCTATCAGCTGCTCTTTCCTGTCTTAGTTGGTAACAAAATTGGCAACAAATCAAGTGCAAGGTCAGATAAGCAGGGACGGTTCAACGCAACCCTCCGATATGGCTTCGGCCGGCTGGAAGGTCAGACCGTAGTTCTGGCTCCACGGAGACTCCTCAGAGACTTAGTGAGCTTCGGCGATGCACTGACCCGACGGACACGGAGGAGACTCTCGGTCGACCCACTGTAGTCGGGGAGCCTGTCGTCATTCACGCAGTTTCAAGTCGTAGCAATAACCAAAGTCCCATGTCGAACCAGATATATCCTTTATAATTGAGATTTTCTGAGGTTCGACTAGACCTTCCAAGCAAACGAACGGAGCTCGGCATCCAGAAGTACCTTATTTCTGACAAGCCCTTGCGTGCTTACTTCACAGTGGATCACGAAGCGGTAGTGCCCGAAGGATCTGACCTCATGCGTTGAATTCGCTTAATGAGGGATCCCTACCTGCCATGTTTTGTTCCCAACATTTCCCGTAACTATAAAGCTGGAACAAACCTTCGCCAAGATATCGTCTGTCTTTTCGCATCTCGACAAGCATCGTGGGGGGCTTAGATTACATCGATTCATCATGGGATTCATCCTCCAAACGAGCATCATCTTCACCGTGATCCTCGGCGTGGCCTTGCAGCTCGTGCTCAAGGATCCCATTTGGCTGGGCCTGGGAATCGGCAAGGAATTCCAGCGCCTCTCCGACTTCCCCTACTCGTGCCGTCGCATCGAGGACCCCAGACTGCAGGCATGCGAGGATATGTGGCTGTCCGAAGCCACGCGCCAACTCTTCCTCGCCTGTTCTGATCCCCTCTCTCGCCAGCAATGGCTACCAAAGTACGTATTCTAAGAGCAGCCCCTCCCATCTCCGTACCCGTCCCGTCCCGTGTTATCGCCCCGCTCCCCGTTCCCAGGACGGATCGGTGTGGTCCGGAAAGGCAAGCTAATCTCACCCCGCTCCGGCTTCTAGCGCACAGCACATGAACGCCTCGGGCCGCTCAACGCGGGACGCCGTCATCGCGCTGGACATTGACATACCCAAGGGTGATGCATTTGAGTACCGCGTTCTCGAGACGCCGGGGTTTACGGGCACCGCCGGCGACGGACTGCTCCAGCTCGTCGGGATCACGGGTATTGACGCACCGAAGGGCGATAGAGTCGAGATCCTCGTGGTCAACAATGGCCCTTCCGTCGATCCCGTCACTGGCACCCTCCTAGACCAGAAGAATGTGGGCGCCAACTCGACGATTGAAGTTTTCGAGACCGGGCCCAAGGCGATGGGGATGAAGCACGTCCGCACGTTTGCCAGCGCCAACATTTCGACGCCGAATAACATCGCTGCGTTGTCTAGCGAGGAATTCTACTTTACGAATGCAAATGGGCCCCACAAAGTCGGGCTGGTAAGCGAAAAAGCATGCAATGTTCAAGACAGGAACAGGTTCAGCTGATGCACCGTAACTTGTAGCAATTCTTCATCGGCCCCTTGATGGGCGACGGCGACGTATCATTCTGCTCCGCCTCGACGGGATGCAAGCGCGTCTCCGAACGTCACCGCATGCCCAACGGCCTCGTCCGCGGCCTCGACGGCCTCATCTACGTCCCGAGCTCCATGGCGGGTGGCGTGCAGGTGTTTGAAGTGCTCTCAGGCAACGACGGCAACGGACTGAAGAAAGTGGTCGACATCCCCGTGCCATACGCCATCGACAACCTCTCGGTGGACGGCAAGGGCGACGTCTACGCCGCCATCTTCCCGCGGGGCATCGAGATTCTGCAAGCGGCCAAGGACCCGCTGAACGCGAGGCCCAAGAGCGCCGCGGTGCGTATTCGCAAGGAGGGGGACGGCGTCTACGTGTGGGAGAAGATTATCGAGGACGGGCTTGGGGAGGTGTTGCCTGGGACTACTACTGTTGTACACGACGCCAAGACGGGGAGGTTGTTTTTTGGTGGTGAGTGCCGGTTCTGCCTTCTGCGTTTTGATGTATGAATTGTGTGGCTAACTTTGCTTAGGTGTAACATCGCCGTTTATTGCAGTCTGCGAGCCCAAGAACTGAGGGTGGATTGAGATTCGATGCCGTCTCTGGCAGGAATGTTGACTGTGGAGTTCATGTCTACGCAAACTAGTATCCTGTCATAGTGAGACGCCGCAGTTTCATCTTGTAAAATCTCATCTCTCTAAACTCCTTGGTGTAAGTCGTAAAGTTATGACCGTTGCGCTGTGAATTGGGACTGAGATGAGATGAGATGAGCACTATTGGTGCTGCAAGTCTTAAGCACATGTGAAGAATCGGGGGTTCAAGGAATGCTCATGCCGCCACAGGGTACTGGCGCCAAGTGAGATTCACATGGAATTCATTGACACGTGGGAGGCCCAAGACATTAATTGACTCTTGCAATTGTCCCTACTTGTCATCAATCCTACACCCATTTCGCTCGAATATGATTTATTATGAAGGCCGATTTATTGTCCGGATGGATTACAATGAAGTGCAAAACTGAATGAATTGTTTGAATGTTCATAACTACTAGGAGTTGAATGGCAATGTTGTCCTATCTCAATTGCCATCCGTCATCACATGCCAAAACCCCCAAACACCACGACGTTTTCCCCAGACGGGCGAATCCCTGGAAGGCTTAGCGGCGCGCCGGCCCTGCGTCATAGGGGCATGTGGGGAACCGGGGGTTGGGGACAGGCCGTCTCCAGCGTGACTCGCCCAGAGCCGAACCCAGCCAGATACCACCTTTAACCGTGGGACCAGACAGGTCCTGGGGCCGAGGTACGGGTACCGTCCACCACTCCTTGCCGCAAAGGTCATCCACCGCCCATCAACCACCACCACCAAACGACTCCCGACTACAACTTGTCCGTCTCAACTTTACACAACCCCGTTCCCCATTACCTCCGGTCCGAACCCTCCTAAAATTCTCCTTCATAGACGTACTCTGTACTTGTCGCTCATTTGCTGCCTTTCCAAAACGATCGCGATCTCCATGCGCTGAGTGGAAGCTTTGTTGAACCGATAGCGACTCCATCGTCGCATTCCGTCGTCCACTAGGGGAGAGTACAAATTGCCGAGGCTAGCCACTGCGACCGCCCACACATACACGCAATACCCAGCAACGACCTTTGCCAAATATGTCGCTCGCCGCCCTCGATGGCCTCAAGGTAGAGCTAGCTATACGAACGAGGACCAGAGTGCATGGACTGACGCGCATTCATAGGCCGCAATCGAGCGCATCATCCTCGACCCCAAGTACCACGACATTCTCGCCGTCGTCAAAGGCGCCCGCAATGGCGCCGTCTACGGCGCAAAAGTCCGCTTTCCTCATGCCCTTGTGTATGTAGCGCATCCTCCAATCCGTTCTCATGGTCGAGTCAAAATGCTAACTTTAGGCCCTCTACAGCATGATATTCCTCTTCCGTTCTGGAACGTACGTGACCACCCTCCTCACCCCCAGCGAAACCACCTCCCGGCTAACATAGCAAACCTCAACAGACTCCGCCAAAAAGCAGGCCTCGTCTTCCGCGCGACCCGAACACACGCCCGCAACCTCGCCAAGTTTGCGACAATCTACAAGCTCACAATGTACCTCCTCAAAAACTACGGCCCCAGCCCGGGCAAGGAAGGGCCCTACGACTCCTTCTTCGCCGGCCTGCTGGGCGGCTACATCGTCTTTGGCGGGCGCTCGCCGCGCAGTGGCAAGATCTCGAGCGTGAACCAGCAGATTGTCATCTACGTCTTTGCGCGCGTCGTCCTGGCGCTCGCCCGCCTCGCCGTGGCCCCCGGCACGGGCCTGCCCGTCGTCAGCCGCGACGACGTCTCGGCCAAGATCAGCTACTACGCGTGGCCCGTCTTTGCGAGCACGAGTTGGGCCATGGTCATGTACCTGTTCCGTTGGCAGCCGCAGGAGCTGCAGCCTAGTTTGCGCAGCAGCATGACGTACATTTACCAGCAGAGCAGCGAGTGGGATTCGCTGAGGAACTTTATCTGGCATAACAAATAGACGGACCGGCGCTTTCTCATTGGGAGTTTCTGGTGGGTTGGATGGCGTGTACTTTAAGACGATTTGGCGTTGGTGGCGAGCTGGCTTCGGGTTTGGCTTTCGTTGATATTGGATATCGTGACCGGATGATGAGTTACATATGAGAAAGAACTCTGGCGGGATCTTGACAGCTTCGTGACATGGCATCATAGACCGGTCTCTCACTCATATACAAGTACGATTCAGGCTTTTATCTCACCAAGCGCGTCTTGTCTCTGGATAGGTGGTCTATTGCTTGTGGTCCCTCCAGGAGGAATTCGGTGACGTCCTCATACCACTCCCGAAGTCCTTGCTTGTCGTAGAGTAGACGACGCATCTGATGCCTGCGCCTCACTCAACGTTTGTCTTGCGTCGCTCGAACTCGCTAAAATGGCCTTGGACATGTCCCACACCTGTCTATTTCCCAAGGGCTGACCTGGTCATATGTGCTGCCACTTGCTCGAACATGGGTATATCACACCCAACACGGGTATATAGGTCCAACATGCGCCACGGGACTACGTGTATTCGAGTATGAATACGGCCAGGCAGAGGTACCTTCCGCACATTGTCATGAACCTCATCTTAAAGGTATATACCCCCCTTCAATCCCATTCCCGTCACCAGCAACAGCAGGCGCCCCTCTGGGTCGGGGGGTCAGGTCAAACTGGGCTGGGTGGTGGAGTGGTTCATGGTCAACAATTAACATCGCAAACCAGCCTACTCGACGACAGGCTTAGCGCATACGAGAGTCCCCGAGTTCGAATCCCAGCATGAGCACCAGATTTTCCAGCATGAGCACCAAGAGATGTAGCCACACCGGTGGTGAACTCTTTTTTTAGATGTTTGGTATAGCTTCTAGATGTCTCACGTCCGCAGACCTCCTTTTCTTGATTCACGTGGATAAACGCGCGATCAGAGTCATAATTAACAGCACGGAAGTGCGCTATGTGATCATTGCCGTTACTCCAGTAGAACAACGCGAGTTCGGTGTGTATTCCACCCCATTTGGATGGGATCCTACGGCTCAGATGCCGGATAGCGAAGAAGTGGACGCGGCCTTGGGACCCGCCTAGATTATCATTTACATTGTGTCAAAGTAGAGAATGGCGTCGGACCAGGACGAGAGGGCGAAAAACCCCGCTGTTGCGTTAGATGCTTGCCGCGAAGACAGGGATCGTTGCCCGGATTCCGCGCGGAGTGTCATTTGGCATAGGGCTGTTGTGGGCTCTTATGTAGGCGTTAATTATGAAGAGTGTGAAGAGGAAGCATAGTATGATGCGAGGGAGCGCCTCAGAAGGAGGAATGGGAGGATCATGGCATCTGAGTTCAAAGCTGATGTCCGTGGGCTAAGATGATGTTGGTCTTTTCATAAGTGCCAGGTATTCATTCATCGTGCTCTGAGGCCTGATTCGAGCTCGGGGTCAGCTGAAGTAGCGTATTGTCTCTATACTCTAAAACAATGAGAGTGGGGGACGGTGAGCTCGGGATTGAAGCCATCGTGAGATTCCCTCGTTGTGCCTCTGTTTGCTGCAGAATGTCAAGTGCACCTCAGTGATGGAGTTCTAAGTGGGCCCCATCGCAAACGGTGTGGCGTGTGGCTGATGTTAGGAGATAAGGTGACACACGCCACACTGAAGCTTATCGCCGACCACCAAAATTCCGTCCATCATCCCAGATCTCGGACCGGCAGACTGCAACTGCGAGAAAAAAGTTCTCTCATGAAGGATTATCAATCATCTGCCCATAGTAGACGTTTGTTTCTGTAACGTACTGGGGCAGCAATTACCATGGCATTCCGATCCAGCCACGGCTTTGAGATTACCTGATCTAGACCCTGGAGGTTTGCCTAGCAAAGTACACCATGAACAGGCTTCATCCCACTCTCAGCCAAGTCGCCGCGGGCTCTTGATGAAGCTTGGCCTTGTTGTTATTTGTTCCCGGCAAAATCCCGAGGTCCGGTAGTGCGGCAGGACGATGGTGTGTGGGGCAGGCATCTGAATCGCCGGGCCGTTCGCCGCAACCTCGTGGCATTTCTCAGCACGTCAGAACTTCCCGACGACTTTAAGGTTGTATAGTTCTGTTCCTGGTTCTTGGGCCTGTGTCGACGCCTCAAAGACTTGGTCTGGGAACTGACAAGGCTGCATTCAGGCTTCATAATTGGACACTGAGCAAGATTGAATGTTGGCCAAGGTACTGATCACCACCGGGACGTCACCACGTTCTCTGTGCTCTCCCTACCGTTTTGGGCCCCCTGTTGCGAGACAACAAGTTGATCAAGTCACAAGCTCGAAGCTGTCAAACGCAACCCCACCGACACCCACGCGCCCCGTCTTCGTTGCCTCGCAGTCTCTGGCACCTCTGCTGTTCATCGTACTATACGATTTCTAAGCAGAGCCCTTGAAAACTTCGTCTGTCGACGTGGCTGCCCACCCAAGTCTCGAAGAGAGCTCGGACGCTCAACCCGCTTTTGGCAATATCGGGCCCAATTCGCCTTCATGATTCGTTGCCTTCTAGGTTATCGTCTGTCATCGTCTTTTTGCCCACACGGACCCATTCCGTTGCGGAGCCGCAGTTCTTTTAACACTAGTAGGGAGACCTCGTCCAAGGGGAACTCGATACGTTCGAGAACTTTTCCTTTTCGCCCAGGAACACCGCGTGTAGCGCCCTACAGAGTACCTCGGATTCTTCAGACTACCTTTGGAGTGGCATTTACCCAACCCACACCACCCCAATCCCTTCACATCATGGAGCAGTGCAAGGCACAAGCACCAGGACCCGGCTTCGGTTTCACCGCTCGGAGAGTGAGCGGATCTGGTGGCTCGCTGAGAAATGGACGGTAAGGCGTCCGACCCGCTCGCCGAGTTGTCGCCGTGTACGACGGAGGGGAGGTCATTTCTAAGCCTTCCAGGGCCACGGGAAAAGTCTTTTCGCCCAATGGATCAACAAACTCATTGCGGGAAGATCTAGTTGTGGGGGCGAGTGCCGAGGACTGCTCATGTTCCTGGTGGGACTCTCCAGATGATTCCACGACGATGCCGTCCGTGGTGGGCTCTTGGTTGACTTACACCAAGTCTCTGGAATATACAAATACCCTCAAGATCTCCCTCTTTTCAAGTGAAGAGAACCATCATCACAAGCTATATCTTCATCCATCACTCTGATCTACACTAAATTTCATCTCTCTACTTCCATTTGAACTGCATTTCTAGATACCCCCTTTCGACTTTCAAAACCTACCTTTCCAAAACAATCACAATGGCCGCCGAGAACACCAAGCTCTTCCAGCCTCTCAAGGCCGGCAAGATGGAACTCGGCCACCGCGTCGTCATGGCCCCCCTCACCCGCTACCGCGCCGACGACGACTCCGTTCCCCTCGACCTCGTCTCTCAGTACTACGCCGACCGCGCCTCGACCCCGGGCACCCTCATCATCACCGAGGCCACCGCCGTCTCCCCGGCCGACGTCGGCGATCTCGACCTCCCCGACTTCTCCACCCCGGCCCAGATCGCCGCCTGGAAGAACGTCTTTGACGCCATCCACGCCAAGGGCAGCTACGTCTTCCAGCAGCTCTGGTCCCTCGGCCGCGCCGCTGACCCCGAGTTCGTCCGGGGCCGCGGCTTCAAGTACTGCTCCTCCTCCGACGTTCAGATGACCGGCCGCCCCTGCAAGCCCGACGCCCTCACCGAGGAGGAGATCTGGGAAAAGATCAACAACTGGCGCGTCGCCGCCCGCAACATCATCGCCGCCGGCGGTGACGGCGTCGAGATCCACGGCGCCCACGGCTACCTCGTCGACCAGTTCACCCGCGACTCGGCCAACAAGCGCACCGACAAGTGGGGCGGCTCCGTCGAGAACCGCGCCCGCTTCCTCCTCGAGATCGTCAAGGCCGTCGTTGAGGAGGTTGGCGCCGAGCGCGTCGCCCTGCGCCTGAGCCCCTTTGCCACCTTCCAGGAGTCCTACTCCACCAGCCCCGACACCTGGGAGCAGACGGCCTACATTGTCCGCGAGATCAAGAAGGCCGGCCACAAGCTCGCCTACCTCTCCCTCGTCGAGGCCGTCGGCAACCCCGTCAACCTGGGCATCGTGCCCCGCCAGGTCACGGACGACGTGCAGCCCTTTGACGAGGCCAAGCCCCAGACGCTTGACTTCATCCTCGAGGAGTGGGACAACATCTCCCCCGTCGTCGTCGCGGGTGGCTACCTCGGCGACAGCGCCCGCTGGGCCGTCGACGAGCGCTACGCCAAGTGGGATGTCGCCGTTGCTTTCGGCCGCTACTTCATCTCCAACCCGGACCTCGTCTTCCGCGTCAAGAACAACGTCGCCTTCACCCCCTACGACCGCACTACTTTCTACAAGAAGAAGAGCAACGATGGCTACAACACGTACGAGTTTAGCGAGGAGTACAAGAAGGTCAACGGTGTTAACGGCTCCGCCTAAGTTCTTTTTACCAAGAGACACTGGAACGGGCCGAGGCTGGGAATGGTATAGAGGATATGGGCATTTACATGCATAGCATTGGAGTTTTTGGGTTTGGCATGATAAAAGATCCATGAGGGTCGATATAGATACACATGAATACAACTTTCTTTTTGTCTACTTTTGTGTATGTTGGCTATGTGACGGAGAATGATGCTCGAGGGTAACAGTCTTTCCTAAACACTTCTTGGGTTCGGTGCTGGTTTGTTTGACTTACATCTTTGTTCCTGCGTAATGTTGCCTGGCACTGACGGCGTTGCTTGGTAGCAGAGAATCTCGTCATTTTTGCCGGCCTGGCCTACCCACTTGAGCATGCCCTGGTTCTGTCTAGATTGGGTTTGGTATTTGCCCACTTTCACTACGAGATAAGCATAAACAGGGTCGTCTTATAACAAGTGAATGCTGGAGAATCACGGTTGCCGAGGCTGAGTCCAGAGCATCTAAGGGTGAATGATCATATAGCCTCATCATGACGACCCTCAAAACTGATGAGGTACCCATGCCTTCTTGTTGCGTGCTACTCCAAGTTGTCGCTGATATGTGTTGTGTGATTTGTAGGCTGTAGCTCGCCCGATGCATCGATCTAGAAGGGACCCGCAAAGTGCCGAAACTGAATATTAGGTACGGATGCGTGAAGTGAGTAAGATGCTGCGGGATCTAATATCAATTGTGACATTATAGGCCTGGTCGTTAACGCTAAAGAACTGGGTGAGTTGTCGGACCATTAAACATCAAGGATATATCGCAGATGTCCCATGTGTCGGATGCCATCGTCCATGGGTAGAGGCACGGAACAGCTTCAACGGCAAAAGAGGAGCTGAAAGGGAACAAGTCGGCGCCTGTGTGGAGCAGGAAGTGCGGTCGGCGGCCGGAGAAAAAACGGAGGACTTATGGTCCGAGCGCCCACCCGCCTTCCCCAAGCGAATTTCAACCAAAAAGATCACATGACGCGGTAGGAGGGCAACCGAACCCTACCAAAAAGTGCGAGTGGGGCGATTGATTCGCAGAGAAGCGAAACCTCCAAGCGACTGCAGCCCCAGCACCCTTTCCAAAACTTCGACACCACCGGCAATTCAGCTTATTCGCCTTCGATAGACCGCATCGAAAGCGAATTCCCTGGCAACTCACAACCCGCAAAGATGGCTGACGACCCCGAATACGTACGTGCGAATCTCCTCCTGTTTCCCTGAGCGATGGAAAAAGAATAAAGCAATTTCGAATGGACGCGCCCGCGACAAGGAAAAAAATGGGGGAGGGACTTGTTGCGTGGTGGCGTGGGCTTCACCTCTTGGAACAGAACAGTTTTTGGCTGACTGGATGGACGCATACAGAACGCCGAGGAGGCTGCCGAGCTCAAGAAGAGAAGAGCGTTCCGCAAGTTCCAGTACCGCGGAATCGACCTCGAGGCGTACGTTTGCCCATATCTCACATCCCACCACCATCAATCACACCTGGCACCCCACGATCGACGAACACCACGATGGTTTCATCACCATCTTTCCTCTTTCCACCTACCTCACGATCCGAAGACACCGAGAATCAATCGCACCACATGAGGGGAACAGTCTAAGCTAACATGTCTTCTCGCTCCATAGTCTCCTTGACCTCGACTCTGAGCAGCTCCGCGATGTCGTCCACGCCCGTGCCCGCCGGCGCATCAACCGCGGTCTCAAGCGCCGCCCCATGGGCTTGATCAAGAAGCTCCGCAAGGCCAAGCAGGAGGCCAAGCCCAACGAGAAGCCCGACCTCGTCAAGACCCACCTCCGTGACATGATTGTCGTCCCCGAGATGATCGGCTCCGTCATTGGCATCTACTCCGGCAAGGAGTTCAACACCGTCGAGATCAAGCCCGAGATGGTTGGTCACTACCTTGCTGAATTCTCCATCTCTTAGTATGTGCCCCCCCTTCCACCCCGATTATGCTGCCTAGACGTAGCGATACGCCTCGAAACAAATACTAACAGCCTACCAGCCGCCCCGTCAAGCACGGAAGACCCGGTATCGGTGCCACGCACTCTTCTCGTTTCATCCCCCTGAAGTAAGGGAGAGTATGGTTGTGGGCTGTCTATGGGAGGTTCTTGCATTCAAACGGGCATCAAGGCGAAACGGGAAATGGTTTTGGTAGCAAGGCAAGGCCGCTATCATGTTGTTTGGGCGATGATAGTTCAATACAACATCGTTGTCCGCTAAAAAGTTTGAGCCTCAAAATGGGAATGAATTCAACGAAGAGATACCAAAAGTACATTTCACTCTTCCACTCATACTTTGCCGTGACGTTTTACGACTGTCAATTTTCTTTTTGGACGCGTAGGGAACCTTGATAAAAGTGGCCACTTTCTTGCAACTTAATTAAGCCCTTGTTCTTCAATATCAGAATGTCATCGTTTGGACCCACCAGAATCTCGCTGACCAACCTGGAGGTTCAGGTACTTCGAGGCTTATCACTTGTACGATACCGCTGAGGGCACCAGCATGGACAGTGATCATCTGTAACAACGGCACCGAAAGCACCTGGGTATATCTATGTCATGATCTATGCATCCTTTCTCATCACTCACATCACAGCTCATCCTTTCCAATCATCTTCAACTGCGCCTTCTCATGCGCATCAAGCCTCTCATACAGATCCCGGCTCCAGGGGCTCGAGTCGCCCTTATTCTTCTCCATAATCGCCTTGACCGCAACCTTCCAGTTCTCGTCGCTCACGCGGTCGGCAACCCTCTTGGACCTGTCCGCCTCGGAGGCCTTGAACAGGGGCCAAACGCCAACGTCGGCGCCCATGTTCTCGTCGAGGAAGCTGTCCAGCACGAGCTGGCCGGTCTTACGCTGCGCAGTCTCCCATTGCGCGTCCTCGGGTGCCAGGACCTCGAGGAGGCGGTCCATGCCCTTGTTGGCGATGAAGTCGTCCCGGATGGTGGGGCTCTTGATGAGGCCTTTGATGGCGGCGACTTGCGCCTTGGCCTTGTTCGCGGCGCGGAGGACGTCGTGGTTCGCTGCGTCGCCGGCACCGTTCTCAGGTGAAGAGCGTACGAAGGAGGCGTAGAAGCCGTCCCGGATCTTGAGCTGCGGCGCCTTGTGGAGGGAGCGGCAGGATGAGTCCATCAGCTGGGGCCAGACTTTGGTCACCTCCTCGAGGGCAGTGGGGTTGTTCTGGAGAGCGCCGGAGATGATGGCTGCCGCCTGCTGGTCGCGGGGCACTGCGCCCTCGGACGGCGCGGGTGTCTTGGGGTCAATCATGAGGCAGAAGAGGGACTTGACGGTGTCAAAGGTCTCTGTGATTTTGAGGCCGTAGTAAATGTCGTGAGAAATGTCCTCGAGAAACTCTAGGGCCTCGTCCATGGGGAGGTCGCTTCCGTGGGGCCCCTTTTTGACGTACTCGAGACTCGTGTAGAACTCGCCCGACTCCTGCTTGGGTTGCTTCACCACGCCGACTGGTTCGTATTTTGGCGCGTCCTTGGGAATCTGCGCTTCCGCAGGTGCTGCTTCGTCCGAGTCCACGACCACGATGGAGCGGTCAACGGGCAGGCCCTCAAGTTCCGGGTTCTTCTCGGTTGGGTCGTTGATCTTGGCCTCCTTTTTGCCCGTGTTGATGTTTAGGCGTACGTGGAGTCCGGGGGGTAATTCTTGATCATCGTGAACTAATTGGAACTCTTCCGTGGGTTGGAAGATTTTGGGATAACATTCTGATGGGTTGTCGGTGTGGCAGATGAGCTCTACTTCCGCTGATGGTGAGGGCGCTGACGGTGATGAGGCGGAGGCTGATGATGCGAAAAAGACGAGGCCGAGAACGACCATGAAAATTGTGAATGGAAGAAGAGACGTGCGGGTTGATCTCCTCGACGCCATTTCGACCAATTTAAATAAAGGGTTTGACCTTTGTATGTTGTTGGTTGCAGAGGTGTTGAGATGGATGATATTGATGAATCTGGCCGGGTGAACAGATACAATCTTATCTGATGTGTAGGACCAGCTAAAAACGCTCTATTGCTGTAAGAGATTGTACGCAAGGTGGACCTCAAGGAACTTAAAACTTGACTCAGTCTAAGGATGCAATTTGATGCAACGATAATCGGTTGAAGAGATGCACGCCTTTATACACAACCGCAAGATTATGAATGAGTCAACAGTGGAAAAGGACAGGTTACCATCGCGAAATAGAAATCCGTCGAAGTCGTCCGTCTGGCCAAGTTGTATCCAAAAGCCCCATTAAGAGGCGATTTCACTTATTTGAATTCGGCAACCGATGATTGGCTCAATAGACGCGGGCGGTCGCGCTTGTGCGCGCTAGCGCTAATCCACGAAAAGTGACGCTCCTCCGGCACCTTGGATCAACCTCCACCAAGCCGAAGCTCCCTCCTCGAGAGACGTACTCCCAGCAACCGATATCCCATCGTCAATTGACACACCGTTTCCGAAACGTCATACACGATGCAGGCCATTCGAACGCGGGCTGTCTGCATCGCGCGCCAGTCACGGCTGACTGGCCTGCGCCAATCGAGAACCTACGCCTCCGGAGGTGACCACGGCCACCACCATGCCCACACCGTCGAGGAGCCCATTGGCGTACGTCTGCGAACAACCCCTCATTTGTTGTCAATTGGCGGTCGATGTGCTATTGGCAGTTATATGAATCCAATTGGCTTACTTGAGACTCGATAGAACTTCTTCTGGGCTGTCGTCGCCATTATCCCGTCCGCATACGCCGTCTACAAGATCACCGCCCCCGGCAAGGACGGCGAGCCTCCCTACCTCACCCAGAAGATCCACGAGGCGTGGCACTGGCAGGAGACATGGAAGGAGAGAAACGCGCTGCACACCAAGGCCGTTGAGCAGGCCGGTTTCGACAGACTGCTCTTCTTCTCCACCCCTGCCAACCGCGATGTCGACCTCAGATTCCCCGAGTACGCCTCCCCCCAACCGAGCATCCCCTTGCGAAATGGAAGGCGTCTAGGCCTTCATAATGGAAAAGAGAAAAGAATAGAAGCTGACAACTGATGCGCAGGGCCGTGTCCAACTTCGCCGCCCGCAACGTTATTGCCGGTTCCCAGACCAACCTGGACCACGTGATTGCCCACTACAAGAAGCAGCACCTCGACGAGGAGGAGCGGAAAGCAAAGAAGCTTGCCGCGCAGAAGCAGGAATGAGAGTAGGGTGTGGTGTATGATACCGTTACATAGATCAACTCGAGGTTGAATCAAAAATTTCAGTTCTTTTGTTATCAGTTGACCATCCTCCAGTATGCTGTGGTAGCAACAGACGAAGATCAAGACGAGTGCCTTAGCTTCACTTGCTTGATCTTGCTTGGCGTCCTGGGGGCGGCTATTGGTTTACTGAACTTCTGGTATGCTCATGCCTTTTGCACATCAAGCTTAGCTATCCCGTCTACCGCCTGCCATTGGGAGACCGCACTGGGCGTGTTTGAGCCACGGACCTGCCTGGTCTGCTTAGGAAGCTCTGATTCTTACGCTTCTCTAGTAATCATTACTCTATTATTAAGTATGTCCCGTGCTCCACCGACTTCCTTCCCATTCCTGGTGAATCTCACTACTTATCATCGTCACAAAGAGCAGGTAAGCTATCTAAGGTATTTCGCGGAGATATGGCAATCACAGGTTCTGACTTCCTTACCTAGGAGTGTAGATAAGACCAGCAATGTCGTGCGACTCGTGACCACCGTATGGTGCCATCTCAACCCACCTTCCAACTCCCTGCTGTTGAATCGTACCCAACTCTCGCTAGCAGCTTCCCACCGCGAGTCGTTTTTGGGTACTTGATAAGGTATACCAAAGAAAGTGATCGCATCTTGCACCTGGCACCCAGATGGCTTACAAGGCAAGGTAGACGTTCGTGCACCTCCCTTCTCTCTCTTAGCTTCCTGGTATCTTCCTTCCACCATAATCTACTCTGCTTCTCTTCTCGAACTCATCCTCTTCTGTCGCCTTTCTCCCATATCTTCTCCTTCGACAGATTTCGTCATTCATCACAATCCGCATTATCCCCAAGACTTTCTTCGTTATTCATCCATTCTTCTTGTTAATCGTCCCATCGTAGTGCTCGTCGAGTACTTAGACATTTCATACACAACCCGCTACACACGGCACAAGCTTTACGTCGTCGGCATCACAATGTCGCTACTACCCATGCCTCACATGCTCACCTTCATAGAAGGCCCGAGGATAGCAATGAGAAATTACCCAATCGGGGCTGCCATTTTCCAGGGCCCGGCCATGTTCAGGGTGACCAATTTCCAACCAGAAGATGACCGGCTCTCCAATTTCTAGGAGGGATTGACGATGCCCGCTGCCAACGCAATCAAGGGGCTCTACCGGGAATTCTGCCCACGGCTGGAGGAAGTTCCCATGTCGCGACACATAATGAACGCTATGCACCATTCTATACTTTGCGAGTTCATGAACACCATTGGATTCATGGTATTCGGAAACCATCTCATACCTCTCGACCCCAACGAGCTTCTGCCTTTTGGAGACCCGAACGGAAATGCCCGGTTCACCGGATACTACAATGACACCATCTCCGTTTTCAGAGCCACAAGGGACATCGCCATGGGCGAGGAAATTCGGATGTGTCGTCCATCTTTCATGTGTCTCTGCACGCTATGCTCTGTTCCGCCACCAGCCACAGCCTTGCGGCTTAACCCCGCAGCCTTCCCGTTCTTTTCCATCGCTGGCAGTGCCACCAGTAGCGGAGCGGTCGACAAAGAAAGACACGTGCAAGCCGACGGGTGCGAGGATGACGAGGATGGCGAGAACGGCGATAACGAAGCAAGCAATGAAAGTGACCAAGACGAGGAAGGACAAGAGACGCTCGAGATTCCAAAGCGAAATAAAGGCAAGGGAAAAGCCGTTGATATGGAACTCGACAACGGTGAAGGCCCCAGCAGGCCCAGAGAAGAGTGGCAGGTCAGGGAAGAGGGCCAGGAAGAAGCCCCAAATCTCTACTCTGGTACCGGAAATAGTCCCCTTTCCTTTCGAGCAGCCTTGGCGCTACCGGCTCCGGGTTCTGCAGGGTCAAGACCTCGTGACCCTCTTACAATGAATCCGGCCACCCCGTCTACTGGTAATCAGCAGCAAAAGAAGGTCGCCAAGTCCGACAGCGGTGGTGATGCAGAACATGTTGAGGATGTTGCCAACAAGGACGGAGCGAACGATATGGCACAAAACAAGAAGCTAGGCCGCACAGCTAGATTCAAACTGGTCTTGAGGAAGAAATTTGGAATCAAAGACAAGCGCGAGGCCAGGAATAACAAGGATAACCAAGCTGAAGGCGAACAAATAGAGGACAACCAATCCGGTGTCAAACATCCTGGTGACGGCGAGCCGGCAACCAGCGAACATCAGGAGTTGGCAGATTAGATTCCTGTTCCCGGCCGGGGATAGTGTTAATGGGCGGGCACGTATGGCAGACAAAAATTAGAATACGGAGGTCGGCGGGTGTAGCTTCAATAAATATGTTTACAAGGGCTCTGGGGTGCATTCTTTGCGTGATTCAACGATACTGGTGTCAAAATACCGAATGAACAGTTGAACTTACACGCCAGAACCACGGTGGAAGTGGGAAGGTTGACCATATCCGTGGGTATTGAAAATCAGTCAAGCGGTGTTAACTGATGTAACTCTGAAGCACATGTAGTTGGTCACCCGAGAATAGCAATGGTTTAGTTGACGTGTTCATTACTGGGCATGATGCTCATAACCTTTCGCAAGCCTTGTTTCTCATCAGTGCCGTCATCACAGGACGGCGGACGAGCCACAACAAGAAAGCGGATGCTGTAAAAAAGCTCTCAGACCCACCAAAACCGTTGTGCCCAAAAAATCCCCTTGCCAGTTTCTCAGCGCGGCACGACATGTTCTGGCTGTGGATATACGCAGCTGAACCGTGTCGCAGTTTATCTCCCGCAGGCACCTTTAAGATCCTCTCGGTAGCTTTCCCTTCTCCCCGTCTGAGTTTGGGGAATCGGCCTTTTCGGAATTGTCCCACTCCATCCAAAGCTTCAGAAGCTCAGCGGGGGCCTAAAGCATCTCCGCGAAGCTTTTGCTTCCCCCTTTTGGAAGCATTCGTAAGATGGATCTAAGAGTTTGGTGGTGGACCAGACGGTACTCGAATCTCCCTTCCCTTCCGGGGATCATGCCGCCGGGATCCGCTCGGTTGCGAGGGGGAGATTGCGCCTCCTGGCAGTAACGGCTCCCTTAGAAGCCGTGGACTTTGACGAGCTATCGGGGAAATTGGGGTTAGCCATGTCTTGCTTAGGTTTATGCGGGGGAGTTGGAACGTGGGCGTCTCAACATGGATATTGGGGGAGCAGTGATCTGACGTACCTTGGAGTCCATCTCGAGACCCTCCTGCTTGTCGATGAGGAAGTCGTGAATAGCCTTGCGCTGGTCACCTGTGCGCCACGATTGTCAGTTTCGCTTATTGTATATGTAGGTGGCGGTGTATCTCCATGCTCGGAGCTCGTCTCAGCGGCCCTCGGTCGAATCGGGTGCTTCTGCCGAGGGTGCGCAAGACAGCATGAAAACGAAGCCATCGTTCGCTGAAGTGTGTGACGTACCCTGAAGCTGCAGAACCTCGCCGAGATCCTGGTCCTCCACAATGGTGCCGTTGCAGGCAAATTTCTTCTTTATGACCTTGAGAATCTTCTTCTGGTCGAAGCGCTTGGGCAGGCCCTGGATGGTGGTGAGGGTCTTGCGGCCATTGCGCTGCTGGATACGGATGTGGATATAGTCCTGGCCCTTCTTCTGCTTGTCCGCGTCGCCCTCGTCCGCGTCCGCGAAGGGGTCGATGGTCTTGAGGTTTTCGATGGTAGTCATGAGAAAGAGCTTTTTGCGCGCGCGCGAAACGTCGATGCGTGAGGGAGGGTTTGTTAAGGCGATATGACGCGTTTCGTTTGGGACTTGAGAAGAAACCTGGGATAGGAAGATGAGTTGGGGCTGTTGTGAGGTCGAGATGTGTATGTGCTCGTGTGAGGCTGAGGAAAAAGGCCGTGAACAGAAAGGCGGGAGTTGGTGGGATGGAGTAGGGACGAGGCGGGGTTGAAAGGTGGGAGGAAAGCAGGTCCGTGCTCGAGCGGTGATGGTGGGGCCCCAGGAGCTTTCGGTGAAGTTCCATCTGAACAGTTGCGGTAGCCCAGTTGAACAAGCACAAAAAGCTGCACTGCCACGACTGCCGCGCTTCCACACACACAAGACCCCCAAAGCAGAGAAAGTCGGTGAGCTTCTCCAGCTTTTTTTCATAGCTGTCGATCCTTGATTATTCCCCTGTTGTACCTTGCATTAGCCACATGCAAGTGTGGCGCATACAGATATCTCTCTTGCCCTGTATCCCTAGCCAAGGGATTGGGCAACATATCGAAGAGGTTTCTCGGTAGTTTTGTATGACATTTCTGAAATCTTCTGGACCAACGGAGAGCAGCCTTCACTATGACAGAATTAAGCAGTGGCATAGAGGTACGCGGCGAGAAAGGTGGCGCCAAGGGTCGCTCCGTCCACGCGGCACGCCGCTTCGAGCCGGGAGACATCATGGCCCGGTTCAACAACCCGGCCGTCGTGCTCCCCCCAGGCCCGCGCGCGTTGGAGTACTGCAGCCACTGCCTCAAACAGCAGCAGGAAGACACTCCGGTCACAGAGAAGCTCCGCGCATGCACGGCATGTAAGACGGTGGCCTACTGCGGACCGGCTTGCCAGCGCGCCAACTGGTCTGTAGTACACAAGTTCGAGTGCAAGGCGATTCAGAGGCTTCACAAGACCAAGCCTGCGGACCAGCCGAACTGGGTGCCGACGCCGGTCCGGTCGGCGGCGCAGGTCATGCTACGGCCCAAGGTGATGGAGAAGTTTGAGGAGCTGGAGGGCAATGTGGAGTCGTGGCAGGGCAGAGAGATGGTCAAGTTGCAGCTTCAGGCGCGTGGGGTTGTGATGTGTCTGGGTGGCGATGAAGCTTCAGCTGACTTGCTGGAGAGTGCTTATCAGGTTCTGTGCAAGGTGTGTGGTGCCCTATAATATCTTTCCTCCAAGCCGAGTAGATCCTGTGTATGCTGATAGTGCTTTCAGATTCAAACGAATGCTTTTAGTGTTTCAGAGGATGAGACTGATGGCATTTACTTGGACACAACACTGGCCATGATGAATCACTCATGCAGCCCTAATGCCGTGGTCCAATTCGATGGCAGGTCAGCCTCACTCCGCGCAATGGCTTTCATCGAGCCCGGGGATGAGGTCGAAATATCTTACATCGGTAAGTTGTCGTATTAAGCCGCCTTCAGGACCGTCTCATGAAAGGACATCAGCTAAGCGATTACAGATGAAACGCATCCAAAGAGCAAAAGACATGAAAGCCTGAGATCGTATTACTTTGATTGCAAGTGCTTCAAGTGTATCGAAGACCTGGACGAGTATCAGGTCGCCCAGAAGGATCCGAGAGTTGCTAAGCTGAATGAGCTGAGTGCAACACCTGATATCGAGAGATTCCAACACCCTCAGGTGGCCGACAAAGACAGATTGCGGCAAGCCATTGAAGTCCAAAAGCTTTTAGAGATATATACAGCGCAAGTCCGTCACACAGAACCGACAGCAAAGCACAAGTGGCTGAGGAAGGCGTACAAATCGGCCTCGTGGTTTACCGAGAATGGTCGATGGGCCATTGAGCCCTTTGCTCAGCTCTTGGACAAGGCGGCAGTCTATTATGGGAAAACCCGGGGCAATCACGAATGCGCCTTGGCCATTGCCTGCTTAGTGGCGTACGAGATCGAACCGTACAAGCATCCCATCCCCTTTCACAACGAGAGAATAAGAGGTCTCTCCGCCATTGCCAACGAGCTATCTCACACAGCGCCTGAACCGGAAAAGCTGGTAAAGCTGGCGAGGGACATGGCTGCGAAGAAGAAGTTCTCGGCCGCCGGCGTCAGAGTATTGGTGGATCTCGACCAAGTGTCAATGTGCCAGATGGTTTTGTCCTTGATCAATGCGTACAAGGATCGGACGCCAAAGGTCCACTGGGACGATGTTAGTATGATCAGATGGATGATTGCTGAGATCGAGAGCCTTCCGGGCCGAGACAGGGAGAACAGCCTGATCAACGCCTGGATCATGGATCCAAAGGGAATGGACCAGTTCTTCCGGTACGCTCTGGTAGAGCCGCTCAAGGCGTTGTCTGAGCTCGGAAAAGCTGTGTTGGAGGTGGACCTAGGCGAGGACCGCGATTTGTCCGCTAATTGATACCCCTGAACGAGATCAAAGTTGAATACAAAAGTTCTTTCTTGATCACTGAGCTGCCTATAGGAGTGTCAAAACTTGCAGTCCGTGGGTAAAGAAGCCCTCGGCTTCTTGATACTCCTCTTGTCACTGGCACCCGACCTGGTGAGTCTTGGGCTTTTGTTACCTTCACCAGCTCCAGCCACTTTCTCTGCTGGTGCCCTTCGTTTGCGACTCGTAGGTTGCAGAACTTTGAGTGAGGCTGAAGTGGCTTCGCTGGAAACCTTGGCAGGTGCTTCTTGATGCAAGTCATTCGTTATTGGATAGGTATTGTTCGATGGGCCAGATGTGGCCGTGCTCTTGGATTGCTGAATTGGAGCGAGTTGTAATTTTCGCGAGGTTGAGAGAGATGCTCTGCACTCGCCTCCAGACGCTGTATCCTGCTCTTGAAGAGATCAAACTCCATCTGCAATGTCTCCACTTGACTTGCCCGAGCTTCAATCTTGGTCATGTTGCTGGTCAAGATATCCAATTCCCGTAACGGTATTTGCTGCTTTGACAGGTCGACTTTCTCTTTGCGGTCCTGGTCCATCATCTGTCTCAGCTGCCTCAACTCAATTTGTAAAAGGGCTGTTTCCTTGGCACTGCCAATGTTCATGTCGAGGATGTTTTTCACGGTTGCATTCGATTTTGTCACATCCGCTTGTAGGCCCAGGTTACGTTTTCGAGCTGCTTGTAATCTTCTCGCGAGATTAGGAGATCGTTTCGGAGCTCAACATCCTCCCTATTAACTTCTTCGGAGAGCTTCTTCATCTCAAATATGGCAGCGTTTGCGGTCCGAACCTGGCTCTCCAATCGAGACAGCTTGAAACTGTTTTGTGTCGAGAACTCCCCACTGGATACTTCGATCTTAACAGACTTCAAGTCAGCTTTGTGAAGATCGAAGTCACTCTGAAGTTGACCTAGAGTCGAGTTGAGCTTTGCCATCTCCTTTTCGATGCGCGAAACAGCGCTGTCGAATTGGGACACGACTTGGAAACCGGCAGTATCTATTTCTGTCAATGCTCTCCCGCTGCGCATCGAGATCTACTCGCAAGCAAAGAGAAAGCGGTGTTCTTGGAGTTTGGCGACTCATGCCCAGGCCCAAAACCTTACCAGAATCGGGATTGAAATGATCGTTTGCCGGGTACGATCCGGGGCGAGAGTCATTCCGGAGCTTCAATGTGTGGCGCACATTGAGCTCGACCGGCTTGCCATTCTTCTTGAGAAACACGATAGTTGTCTTTCTGAGAAGTATTTGCGAGCTACCTTGGGTGAGTAGGGGTATAGTCGAGTCGCGAGGTCGACTTACTCGTGAAGCACATGATTGACTGGGCTACTTAGACACATGAGGCCGATGACGTTATCACATTTGGCGCAAGCGACATCTTGAAGCTCGCTGCGAGAGATCAGTCTGCCGATTCACAAAGGAAAAAAGGTGAACGGTCCCTTACCACTCGGCAACGAGGTATCCTGCTTCACCAATTCTCGTGGGTTCCTTGGCGATCATCTGAGTATTGCCTTGGGCCTCAATCGTTGGAATGAAATAAGATTTCCCAATCTGAGTCCACAAATTGAAGAAAGTTGCCAGTATTGCTTGACAGCTTGCGCACTTGCACTGGATGACTTCCATTTTGGGGAAGGCTCAACTGATTTGCGACGGCACGGATCTGTGAACTCGAGGCTTTCGCGACGACAAGAGTATATGTTTGGTAGCTGTTGACTCCGAGATTGTATGATGGACGACATATAGGAAAGGTTGCTTCCCATTGCATCACGGCGAAGGACGAAGGGTACCTCATGGCAAGGTAGAGTGACACTGCGACAGAATGCGACAGGCAATCTTGCTATTTGCCTGCTCGTGCCTACCTCATTTCAGTCCCTGTCGACTGGGAAGGAGCTCGAGGCCGGGGGTCCCTGACAGTTGACGCTTATCTTATCATACACCCAGCCGATTGGCTCGCCCCGCAAAACCACCTAACAATGGGAATCAACGGTCGCATTTGTGCTTTCCATGTCAGGGAACTTTTTTTCTGAGCTACCGTTTGAAAATTCACCCCAACACACCTACAAGCACGCCTCGACTATTCACCGCAGCGCAATTCGATCTACCGCCACCGATACTGGACCTCCTGAACCTCTGCCAATTACCATCGGCAGTAATTGGACGAGAGACATCATGGGGAAGCGCCGTAGAAATCGCGACGAAGGCGGAGAGGGTGCCATTGTCGCCTCCGATGATGTCCCCGTAATAACCTCTCAGATGGACGAAGCGACTGCCGAAGCCGAGACAGGAAATGGCGAAAACAGTTCTCGGGAGAGTTCCTCGAATACTCAAAGTAGTGGCAGCTTGAAGAGAAGTGCTCCTGGCGATGATGACGAAGGATGGACCAAAGTCGAGCGATCCAGCAAGAAACGCAAGAAGGTCCCCCGCGAGGGCTCCAACAACTATCCCGCAATTACCTTCTCCACGAGCGCAAAGCTGTTTTCCAAGATCAACCTTGCTATGCTTCGCGACCTTGTCTTGTACATATTCGCTGATGGAACGGGCCCGAACTGGGTTTCTGTCTCTCACCGACCAAACT